CGCTGGTTTGGGGGGCCCCGAGTGCCCTGGGATGCTCCATTGACCGTAGAACAGAGGATTTACGGCAGCCCCAGGTGGCGGGCCAGGGTTAGCGTGGTGGCGCTGCTGCGGCTGCTGCCGCTGCTGTTGAAGCTGCGCCTCGTGGTGAGCTAGGCCTTGCAAGGCGGCCCCTTGTGGTGCTCTTGTGCCAGCGACTGGTCCTGATACGCCTGTAAAGGCTGGCTGGCCAAATCTGCTGGGTCCTGTAGCCTGCGGCGCGGCATCGTCGTAAGGTAATGGCATAGCCCGCGGATCCGGCCCGTTTGAGCCACCTCCAAATCTCAAGGGAGGCAAAGTGCTCGAGACTGCATCAAAATCGGGTCTTGAGGGCAGCGCGGCTGGTCCAACGGATTGGTTGACCAGGGTTCCATTCCCTCTGACATTGTCTCCTCTGCCCTTCCGTTTCTTATTCTTCTTTCCCGCCGACATACCGGAGCCGTTCAAAGCATTGATGCCCGCAAGCCGTTGTGCCTTTTCTTGTTTCTTGTTCTTCCTAAACTCAGCTTCCGCCTCATCATCCGAAAATTCTCTTTCTTCATCTCCGACTTCTTCGTCAAAGAAGTTGCTAGCATCCGAGCCTTTCTCGCGTCGAAGCAGTTGAGTGAGCGCATATGTACTGTGCTGAGGAACGTAGCTGACCTTTGTGCCCGGGACGGTACCGGTCGGCAGTGCTGAAGCTGTAGAGAATCTGACGGCGTAGAGCGGCGCCAGAATCGAGCCAAAGGTCTCGTAGACCTACGTTGCGAGGCACATCAGCTCTATCTGAAGTGCAGGGCGTGCCTCTGAGCGACCGAATCCCATCACTCACCCTTCCAAGCACCCGCCGGTCTTCGAATGCGATGGTGCTTCCCGAGTCGAGCACGCTGTACTCTCCGTCCGCCTCGCCCTCTGTCCCAGCCATGTCGCGCGGACGATAAGGTTCCGGTCTCATCCACTTGGGCACAGCATGATGCTCTTGCTGAGCTGGCGTTCCTCTAGCCGCATTCTGTTTCGCAACATCATGCGCGACGATGACCACACCGTCGACGATGCTGTGGATCGACCCTAGTGGTCGCATTTCCAAATCATCAGGCACACTCTCAAAAGCTGCCTGTTCCGACTCGGCGGGCTCCGACTCGTGAGCGGTCGTGGGTCCCGTAAGCGAGCCAGCCTCCTTTCGCGGTCCGTCATCAGAGTCGTCAGAGTCGTACTGAGCGACCGCTTGTTTCCTCGCCTGCCTGAGCGCCCCAGTCGTGGTGGAGGATGAAGATGATGATGATGACGAAGCCGAAGATGACGAAGAAGAGGAGGAAGAGGAGGAGGAAGAACTCGAGCTTGATGCATCACTGTCGCCCTCGCTTTCATCCAAAGCAGTACTAGCGCTCGGCTCCCCACGCCTCCTGCGCTTGCGCTTCCTAATCGGGGGCAAAGCTGTTGGTAAACCGACAGGCTCGCCCATTGCCGTCAGAGCTCTATTCAGCATCGCCGTCGCTTCTGCATTTTCGTCATCGTCGACTTGATCACGCAGCGTACTTGATTGTTCATTAGAGCGGGAATCACTCTGCAGCTCTGATGAAACCGCTTTCCCTGCGGCCGTGTCCATCGGCTCTGATTGGTCCTTCTCCCCATCGGAAGTCTCCATTCTTTCTGGTACCTCGTAATCCAGTCCCGGAGGCAGCTGGGCTCGTGTGCCGCGTGCTGCGAGCACAGCGGCTCGCAAACGTTCCAGCTCGTCGTCGTTTGCGCCATCCGCGCTGGTGGACGCTTGTTGCGCCGCCTGAGTAGAGCCAGCAGCGCCGCTATCAATTATTTGCCGGACGTCAT